CCTTGTGGGACTGGCAGGCGCCAACAAGCACATTCCCGGAGAGCTTGTTGCCTTCTTGCAAGCGCATAGCACCCTCTACTGGATAGCACGGGCGTAGCCGACGCAGAGCTGTTAGCTGTCCCACATCTTCCTGGGAACCATTTTCTTAGACCGAAGTTTTGGAGGGAGATACGACTTTGAACTGATTAGGACGGCTCCCAGTGGCCTATGACATCCTTGTAGGAAGTTGGAAAGGTCTACTTCTGAGCTGCTGATTTGTCCCCAAGATCATATGCCATCCTACAGGGAAGAAGGAAAGGAAGGGTTCAGGTCCACACACCCAGGGCCTCCTCGTATAGATGTGCGAGTTGTGCACTGCACAAGAATAGTCCATCTAAGAGAGTGCCATTCACAGCAGACTTCAAAGCCTGATGACAGGGAAACCATCATAGATTTATAATGAGAATTATCCGACAGATGGCAGCCAAGTGTCTCCTTCCAACAAAACCTGGGTATTGTGCCAATTTGTCGACAGGTGTCAGTATAGAGTTTTCAGGAAGGAATGCCCTTTTCTAATGTGCACAAAGACACTGTATGAGGTCGCAAGGGGCTGAACTAGAGCAGACCCAGGGAGAGTGATTGAGACTGGACGGCAGAGCTCAGAAAATTATCCCTCTGCAGAATGATAATGAGGTCACCGAGGTGGGGGTGGTGCAGGGTGGCCTGGGTCCTCAGGTCAGGAACTCCCACTACTCCCTTTTCTTACCAAAGCCATCATTTCTCTTTCCACTTCTGGTCTCCAAGGAGCCCTTGTGACACAGTGGTTAAGCATTTGACTATTAACCTAAAGGTTGGCGGTTCAAACCCACCAGTTGCTCTGCAGGAGAAAGAGGTGACAGTCTGTTTTCATAAAGATTACAGCTTTAGATACCTTAGGGCACAGCTCTGCTCTGTCCTGTAGGGTCATTATGAGTCAAAATTGACTTGACAGCAATGTGGTCTGGTCTCTAAACCTTGGATTTCCCCGTCTGTTCCTTGTTCCCTCTCCCTCACCCAATTAACATGTATTCTTGCTAGATTTCCGGACATTGTCCCCCCAATTGGGATCTATTTCTCTCTCCCCAAGTGCAATCATTTGAGTCAGGCCTGGGCAGTCCCAGCCCATTAATTGTCCATTTCCTAACTGAACTTGCTATAGGCTGGACCTAGTTTACTCCCATCTAACCTTTCACCCCAACGTGTACACAGCTGCTGGGTGGCTTTCTCCAAACCATGTTCTTCACATGACCTTCTCCATTTTCAAACCTGCAGGATCTCTCCATGGTCAAGGGCATCAAGTTCAAATCACGCCAGATCCTTATAGAGGAAATGGACTGGTTTTGTGGAGTCTGAAGGTTAGACTAGTCCTAACATGAGGAAGGGGGTGCCAGTATGGTCTCCCCATTAATCTCTTTCAATCATTAGTGTTATGTCCCTTCTAGTTCCTATAACCTATTATACTGTCCTCTCCTGCCTCCTTCCCCATTTATTAATTGATGAGGGGGCCATGGTGGATTCAATTTTTATCTTCCATGGGAGACCTGTCTTTGATTCCTGGACAATGTACCTCATATGCAGCCCCTGCCTGTCCTTTGGTGGAGACTTGTGTGTTGCTATGATGTTGAACGGGTTCAGTGGAGCGTCCAGACTAAGACAGACTATGAAGAAAGGCCTGGAAATCTCCCTTTGAAAATCAGCCAGTGGAAATTCTATGGATAACAATGGTCCAATCCAGTTGTGTGTGTGGTCACCATGAGTGATCCCATTTGCATGGGGTCGCCATAAGCGGGGAGTAGACTTGATGACAACTTAACAACACCATTAATTGAGTAATTCAGGCCATTTTGGTTTTATAGTTTCCCGCAGTCTAGATTTTGCAAACTGCAGCCTCTTAGTTTCATTAAACATGTTGCCATTCCTCCCATAGCTCTTGTGAACTGATAGATAATCTAGACAGTTGTCCAGATTCAGTGGTGCAAGAAGACTGATGAACTAGTGATAGGTCTTCCTTCAGAGGTCACATAATGTCTGGCTGTGTCTCTGTCGGGGAATGTTACGATTGATCAGTGGGTTCAGGAGTTGTACAGATTAAATGACGCCGTGCCTGGAGATCGATCCCTGAGGTTACTACCCATCACATAGTAATTGCTCCATGATTGGCAGCTTTCGTAATGACCTTGGACCCTTGGAGCTGGGGCAAGAGGATGAGGAGACATGGGGTACCTGTTTGATCTATGAATTGGGTGATCAATTCTTCCATTCACTGTGTGAGGTAGGGGATCTCATTCTAGGCCCCAGGCCTGCTCTTGAAAAGCTGTATGTCCCCAAATCTGGTTTAGAGGCCCAATTTCCATTTTTGGCAAATCCTGTTTTAAAAGTTATCATCCCAGTGTTAAAGATTAAATTATGTCTCCCCAAAGTATGTGTTCTAAATCCAAACCTCTGTGTCTGTGGTTAGGGAATGGATTGGATTGTCTTTGTTATGTTAATGAGGCAAGATTAATAGAGGGTGTACCTTGAGTTAATCTATTTTGAGATAGTGTTGTTGCTGTTGTTAAGTGCCATAGAGTTGGTTCCGACTCACAGAGACTTTGTATAGAGTTTCTGAGGAGTGGCTGGTGAATTTGAACTGACTTTATGGTCGAGTGCTTGTCTTACAGCACCACATAAAAGAGATTAAACTTTGCCAGAAAAGCAGAGATGCTAAACCACTTGAAGCCCTCCCAGGTTCAGAAGCTCAAAGAGACAAGGCCTTCCTCCAGAGCCAATACAGAGAAAAAGCCTTTCCTAAAGGCCAGTACCCTAAATCCAGATGTCTAGCTTTCTAAACTGTGAGAAAATACATTTCTGGATGATAAAGCTATGAAGGCAGGATTTGGTAGCAGAAGAGTGGGGTGTTGCTCAGATACCTAAAGTGTGAAAGTGGTTTTGGAATTGGGAAATGGGTAGAGGCTGGAAGAGTCTTTGGGGTATCTAATAGTAAAATCCCAGATTACCTTGACCAGAATGTTGGTAGAATTATGAATGTCAAAAGCAATTCTGGTGAGGTCACAGAAGGAAATGAGAAGAGCTATAGAGAAAGTCTGTACATCTAAAAACTATATACAGTGCCAGCAACAGAATGCTGCTAGGAATGTTGTTGTTGTTAAGTACCGTGGAGTCGGTTCTGACTCACAGTGACCCTGCACAGGATTTCCAAGGCTGTAAATCTTTACTGGAGCAGAACGCCTCATCTTTCTCCTGCGGAACTGCTGGTAGTTTCAAACTGCTGACCTTGAGGTTGGCAGCCCGACTCGTAACCACCACGCTACCAGAGAATATGGGCACTAAATGTGCTTTTGGTGAGGCTTTAAAAGAAAATGAAGAACATGTGATTGGGCAGTAGAGGAAGGGTGATGCTTGTTCGGCAGTGGCAAAAAATTTGTCCGAATTATGTTCAAATGTTTTGTGGAAGGCAGAGTTTGTAAATGATGAACTTGAATATTTGATGACATTTTTAAGCAAGATCTTAAAGGTGTCACATGGTTTCTCCTTGCTACTTTTAGTGAAACGTGAGCGGAAAGAGATGGACTTACAAATGAACTGTGCAAAATGAAAATAGAACCAAATATTTGGAAAATTCTGTTGTACAAACTAAGGACACATGTCTTAGAATTTTCATCAAGGATGTGACTATGTAACCTTTTGTTAAAGAGATTAAGCCTGTGACTGATGGGTCTAACCAACTACCACAGCAGAAAACTCATCAACTTAGACCGAAGGGACAGAGGAAGAACAAAAAGAAAGAAGGTGTCTGTCTTCTGGAATTCTATAGGCAGGAAACATGCTAAAGGAAATATACCTGTTGTCCTTCAAAAGAAAAGAACAGTCTTTGGAGAGCTTGGAGGTCAGCAGAACTGTTGGAAGGAGCAGGGAAGTAGGCCTTCTCAGTTTCAAAGGGTGGGGCTATGATCGTCTGGATCTCCAAGGGTGGGACCACAGCCTCCTAGGTTTCAAAGAGTCGGATCTTTGCCAATTTGGTTCTGGGCTGCCATTTTGAGGTGTGCTAGGGGTGGGGCTGACACCCAAAGCTGAGGAGGTGGGGTTGTCATGCCCAAGGGGCAGAGGAACGGGTCCTTCCAGGGCTGAAGGGGTGGGACCATCACTCAAATGGACTAGGAAAATGGGGCCACCCAAAGCTCAGGGAGCAGAGTTGCTGTCCTAATGGTCCTGAACAGTGGAGCTGAAGCCTAGGCCAAGAGGTCTACACCCAGAATTCAGAGGCCATGGCCATTGTCCAGATGATCTCAGAGAAGAGAGGATTCTTTTCAACCCCTGAGAGCTAATGTAATTTGTTCTGTTGAGTTTGGGACTTGCTTGGTGCCTGCTATCTCTTCTTTGCCTCCAATTTCTCTCATCTGTATTGGAAATGTCTACCTTGTGCAAGTTCTGTCATTGTAATTTGTAGCCTACATTTCACAGGTTCACAGAAAAATACCTAAAGTATAAAACATGCCTAAAATCTCACCCGTATTTGAGTTTAGATGCTTCAGAAAGTGAAATTTGGGACTTGGAGTTGATTGAAGACTTTTGCATTGATGGAGTGGGAATGAATGTTTTGCATGTGAAAGGACATAAATGTTGCTTGGGGTCAAAAGGTGGAATGTGGTATTTCTATTATAATTGTTGTTGTTAGGTGCCATCAAGTGGGTACCAACTCATAGCGACCTTAGTAGCACTAGATAAAATAAGACACCCAGCTTGCACTGGGCCCACTCCTCTGCTCCTAAAATTCCCTTGGCTAGATGCCCTGTTTCCTTAGAGCAAGCCCCAGGGGCAAGCCCATTTGCTTTGTTCAGCAAGATGTGGGAGGCACAGGGTAGGCCTTGCTCCCCAACCCTCAACGTCCCTCCTGCCTCCAGCACAGTCTCCCCTCCCCCCACTCCACAGTGCCTAGAGAGATGACAAGTCTGACCTGGTCTCCTCCATCTGTCCTTATGCAGGTGCGGGAGTTGAGTGATGCTGAGTTCCCTCACGCTTTCCTGGTGTCTGGGAAGCAGCGCACTTTGGAGCTGCAAGCCAGGTAGGCCAGCTGGGAGCTTGGTGAGGGGGTGGGGGTGGGGGGGAATGGGGATGGGAAGGAGGATGCTTCAGTCAACAACTGTGTTCCCTTTCTGAGCAGATCCGAGGAGGAAATGATTTCCTGGATGCAGGTATCAGAACACTCCAGGGTTCCTTTGGGCTGTGGCAGTCTAGGATTCCTCAGCCCACCCAGGTTGAAGGAGAGGGATGCATGTGTGTGTATTTGTGCACATGTATGTGTGCATGCATATGTGTGAGAGAGAGAGAGAGAGAGAGAGAGGACCTGGATGTGCCCAGCTGTTCCCCACGCATTCTAATGAATTGCTTTGTGGTGATTAAACCACCTTTGGAGTCAAACCTAGGTTCACTGCCTAGCTGGATGGCCTGGAGCAAGTCATTTAATACAACTGAACCTCAGTTTTCACATCTATAATCTGGGGCTAATTGTTTCTCCCTGCTGAAGTGGGTCAATGTGAGTTTAGACTCCAGTGCCTGGCATCCAGTAGGCTCTCAGCAATGTTTGTTGACTATGTGGATGGAGGGACAGATAAGCAGTCTGTCACTGCTTCTGTCCCCAGGCCTGCCAAGCAGCCATTGACCAAATTGAGAAGCGGAATGAAACCTTCAAGACTGCGGTCCAAGGGCTGGAGGGAGACACTCAGGAGCAGGAGGTAAATGAAGACTTCTGTATCTTCGCTGGAGTCACCAGCCCAATCAGGGCTTGTTCCTTCTGTCTACTCTGCCCAGGTCAGCTGGGAGGGATGGAGAATGTCACCTACCAGGTGTGATTTGAAGGATCTCCCTACTCAGCATCACCCTACTTGGTGACTATAGTACCAAAGCTTCCCCCATTAGCAAAAATGTCCTCTTGAAGTCTCTAGATCCCTGGAAAATTCCACAGCTATACCTCCCTGACCGCGGGCAGTCATGCAGGTTGGAGTTTGAAAGTGTCTGAGAAATGGGAAACCAAGGAGAAGTGGGAGGACTGTGGGCCAAGGGTTAGAGAAAGTGTCTGCGACTTGATTTCAGTTTTGTGCTCTGAACTCTGACTTGCTAGAGCACTTGACTTCAGGGCTTCAGTTTCCTCATCTGTAAAATAGGGATCGTAGTAAACTGCCTTCCCACATGGTCTTCAAACATTCAGTCTGCTCCATGTGGACTCCATTGAAAGGCACCACACTCATCATCCCTGTCACAAGAGGACGGGCAGAGGGCCCCAGGTTCTCGGAGGGTAGGCAGAAGAGAGTTACAATATGCCTACCCTGAAGCCCAGTGCCCTCTCCTCTCACAGCTGCAGTCAGAGGAATTGGGCCTCCGGGCACCACAGTGGGTGCGGGACAAGATGGTGACTATGTGTATGAGATGTCAGGAGCCCTTCAACGCCCTGAGGCGCCGCCGCCACCACTGCCGGGCCTGTGGCTATGTGAGTGCTCCTGCCCACAGCTCTGCTGCCCCTGTCCAACCTTACCCGCCTTCCCAGCTCAGGCCCTGCCACCTTCCCCACCAACTCTGCCAACTTCAAGTCACACAACCTGGTAGTGTCGGCACCAAGTCTGTGCCAGGTGTGGGTATATTATCTCCCTGGGACCTCACGGTGCCCCCCTCTGAGCAGGGGCTGCCATGGTCCCATTGCATACATGGGGAGTGAGACTTAGGGTGGTTAAGTGACCTGCTTGAGGCATCCCAAAATCTGACCTTGTTAATGCTCTTGCTTTCTTTCCATCATGCACCGAAGTCCCCAAGCCCAGAACAGAAAATAGCCTCCAGTTCTGGGATGGGGGCTTCCAAATTCCTCAGGCCCTCTCAGTTCTGCACCCACCACCTCCCCAGTCTGGTGTCCTGCATCTTCTCTTCTTGACTGGCCTTGTCTACCTGTCCCTCTGCTTCTTGGTCTATCCTCAGCCCTTGAGCATCTGCTGAGTTCTGTGGCCAACTTTACTCTCTAAATTTGGGCCTCAGTTTCTTCATGTATGAAATGGGGGTGATTATTTTTACTTCCCTCCAGGATGGATGTAAGGAGTCTGTTCTTTTTCAGTAGTTGTGGGATCACACTGCCAGCTTGTTGAGGAAGAAACTGAGTCCTTTCTTCCCTCTGCCATCAGGAGTAGATACGCAGCCACTGTCTTGGATGCTGTTCTGTGTTGACATCACTACACCCTTAGTTTACTCTGCAAACAGAGAAGCCCTTTGCACCCTCAGTCTGTGATGACCCCCAGGGGACAGGAGAGGTCCTGCTGGGCCAAGTTGGGGCCTGTCAGGGAGGTGTCCTCAAAATGTATTAAATCAGGATGTAAAGTCAGTTTCTATTGCTGAGGACACACCTGCGTTCAGGTGGAAGTAAGTGATGAGCTACTATCCAAAGACAAATAGAAAGGCTCTAGGGCTTAGCTATTGTTCTAGTGATTCACACCTACAAGTGAGAGCTAAATCCACTCACACTGGCAACTTTGTAAGGGAGCTCTTCAAAAATAAAAAAAGATGAAACATTGTTGTTGTTAAGTGCTGTCCAGTAGGTTCTGACTCATAATAACCCTGTATAGGGTTCCCTAGGAACAGCTGGTGAGTTTGAACTGCTGACCTTTTTGATTCCCAGTCCAGTGATGATCTTAAATATTGTTAAAGAAGTGCAAAAATGCACAAAGAATAATGTGGTAACCATCATGTACTTACCTTCAGCTTAATACAAAATTCTGACAATTGAATGAAATGTCAGAGCCCTGGGGATGTGAGGGTTAAACGCTCAGCTGCTAACTGACAGGTTGACAGTTCAAACCCACTCAGTTAGCTTGTCAGGAGAAAGACTTGTCCAGTCTCAGAAACCTGATACAGGGTTGTGGTGAGTTGGAATCCACTCAACATCACTCAGCAACAATTGTTTTGTATCAATTTTACATTTCCCTAGTGTGGTAATGACATTGTGGATAGGCAGGAACATGATCTTTTTCTGAGGCGATGCCAGCTGCATATTTAATTAAGGGTGAGTGTCATGATGTCAGGTGGCACAGTGGTTAAAGTGCTAGACCACTAACCAAAAGCTAGAGGTTCGAACCCACTAGCAGCTCTATGGGAGAAAGATGTGGCAATCTCTTTACATAAAGATTTACAACCTAGGAAACTCTGTGGGACAATTCTACTCTGTTTTTTAGGGTCAAAATGAGTAGAGTGGCGCTGTGGGCTAATACATCAGACTGCAAAATCGTTTGAACTGTAAGGTTGGTGTTTCGCTTAAACTCCTTGGAAACCCTACACAGGGTCGCTATGGGTCGGAATTGACTCGACGGCACTTAACAACAACAATAACATGAGTAGGAATAGCAATGAGTTTTGTGTTTTCAGGTCATGATGATGGCAACTTATTATTACATGGTTCAGAAGAAATAAGTTACAATTATAGAAAGTAAAACCAAAGGCAGCCCAAATGTTACCAATTGGTGAGTCTAGGCTGGGAGGTATCACTGAGCTTTTCTTTGAATTTGCCTATAGATCGGGAATTTTTTCAAAATAAATAGTTGGTGGGGAAAGAAGAAATGGAATGTATTTAATATCTTTATGTAAAATAATGTTATTGTTGTTGTTAAGTCTGTCAAGTCGGTTCTGACCCATAGCAACCCTGTATAGGGTTTCTGAGGAGCAGCTGGTGAGCTTGAACCTTGTGGTTCAAATTGACTTTCAGTCCAGCACATTAACCCACAGCCCACACTAGGACCCCATGTAAAATAATATAACTAAATAAATATATGTATCCTATTATAAAAATGTAAAGACATCGATAAGAATAGAATCCAAAATTCCAAAGGTAGTCCAAATCCCTTGTGTGCTCCTTGTCTGAGCTAACCTTGTCCTAATTTTGGGGTTTCTCATGACCGTGAATAGCTTTGTGATTTGTGAGTCATTGTTTCGGTGGTTTGGGTGCCCAGTTTTTGTCTCTCCTGCCAGACCGGTATCTGTGTGAGGGTGGGGCAGAGGCAGGCCTCCTCCTACGGCTCCCTCCCCAGGCCACACGCTGGGCATACATAAGCTTCTTCCATGCTGGCTGAGGAATAACCCTCCACCCTCTGCCTCCCTCCCTTTCCAAGCCCACATCCTGGGCTCACTGTGAGAGCCTGGTCTCCCTCTAAGTCACACTTGTGCCTCTTTCCAAGTCTTCTCATTCCTAGCACACTTGGTTCCCCCCGGTGTGATCCATGTCAACCTTTTGGGGGCTTCTCCAGGACAGGATGGGGATAGACCCTAATCCATAGAGTAGATATGAGATGTCTTTCTGACCAAAACCCATCATTTGAAAAAAATAATAATTTGTTTGTTGTGGTTGAAAATATCTACAACAGAGCATACACCCATTCAGTAATTTCTTTGTGACAACTTAATGACCTGGATGCCATTCTTCAAGTTATATAACCTTTCTCACCCTCCTTTCTAGAAGATTCCTCCCCTAGTAACATCAACTCACTGCCCCCTAAGTTTCTTCTCTAATATCTCCGGCAGCTGCTGTCACTTTGGTCTCGCAGAGATGGTTCTTAAAAGAGCACACTGTTAAAGGCAGGCATTCTTTACTAGTTAAGCTGAAATGATTGTTTGGTTTTAAGAAGATGTCTAGAGGTATTTTTGCCAACCTGTCATTTTGTATCAGAACACACCTGAGCATGTGACTCAGTGGGATGCAAAGTTTTGCATGAATCTTAATGTTAAACCGTAGAAAGAACTTCTGTACTGTTTGTGGAGGACCAATTGTTTGCAATTAGCTGTGTGGTCCTCAGCAAAGTGCTATTCCCTATGGGTCGCCTTGTCTTTGATGTCAGGTGAGGAGGACAGACGGCTTGGTCAGGGTTGTTGGCAGCCAGGTGAGAGGGCCAGGGGAAGAGTCCTTGGAGAAGTGAGTCTGGTATGGGCAGAGTGCCTAGGACAAGTGTCTCCTCTGATCTTCCAGCCCTTGGATTAGTGGCCTTTTATGGGACTTGACTTCTGGCCTTTAAACATTACACAAAGCAGAGTTATGATCTCATCCCTGTTTCACTGAAGAGGATTCTGAAGGGGAGAGAAGTTAGGACATGTGCAGTGAGACTGGACTCAGGAAGCCTGGAGTCTGCGCTATCTCCCACTATCTGTTCTTCCCTCCATGCCTCTCCCACAGCTTTCTTTGTCTTTCTCCTGGTTGTTCTCACCTCCCACCCCTAACCACATACAGGCACGGCCCTCCCGGCCTAACTCAGGTCCTGCGCCCCATTCCCGGCCATCCTTGGCAGGTGGTGTGTGCCCGGTGCTCCGACTACCGGGCCGAGCTGAAGTATGATGACAACAGGCCCAACCGAGTCTGCTGTGACTGCTACACATTCCTCACGGGAAACGTGGTCCCCAAGGACAAGGAGGACAAGAGGCGGGGCATCTTGGAGGTGAGCACATGTGTGTGCTGAGTGGCCACCACGTGCTAGCATTGTGCCAGGTGCTGGTTACATGGTCCCTTTTACTCCTTTCCTCTTCCGTCCCCACAGACCCTCCCCAGCCCAAACAGCACTAGGTCTATCACCAAATGGCTGCAACACTTGGCTCCAGCCCTACTATCCAGGCTCTTCAGCCCCTCCTCTGTGTCCCCATCCAATAAGTTCCTGCTCATATCCCCCTGCCCAGCCCCAACAGTCCCAGAATGCAGAGAGAGCTGATGTCTGATTCCATTTTACAGAAGGGAAAACTGAGGCTCCAGGGCAGGGTCCCACTGCTAGACAGAGACAGACTGGAGGCTCGATTCTAACCACAAGAGCCTTCCAGGATCATCTGGTCCCACCTCTGCTCTCCCGTGGAGTGGGACCCAGGACCAGAGACGTGACTTGCCCAATGTCTCCCAGAGAGTTCTGAGCCAGCTCCTTGATCTCTGCTGTAGCGTGTCTTTCTGCTGCCCTGGGGGCCTCTCTGAGCCGCCCCACCTCCACAGGCCTTCCCCTGGCTGCTCCGACGCTGCTGCTGGGGCACCTGCTGTGCTCAGCTTTGCTCCACAGATACAGTGCCAACCAACCCAGACATCGGTTGCCACCACCCCACAGGCCGGGTCGACAGCCCACTGTCCCTGGGAGGTGAGAGAATCACCCAGCCTGTTCCAGCTGAGCTCAGCACCCAGGTTCAAATTGGTCTCTACCCACGGGCATTGGGCCTCTTCCAGCCCTTCCACCCTAGCCCAGGCCTTCCCTGACTGATGAGAGGGCATGGTGGGCCCCTCTTCTGGCCTGAGTTATAGCACCTGTACCCTGAACACGCACACAATGGGGGCAGGCTGGCTAGGGTACCATTTCAGCCTTGCCACTTGCCAGTGGTGACCACAGGTACACGATGGGACCTCTGAGCCTCAGGGACAAATAACCTTTTCTTGCAGAGTTGCTGTGAAGATGAGAAATAGTGGTTGTCAAGCCCCCAGACAATGTCCGACCCACGGAGGTGCTGGGGTCCCTGACAGTCCCTCTCTCTGGTTTCAGAAAGGGTTTGCAATGGGGTCCGAGCAGAGTCTGATGTGCAGCTTCCTGCAGCTCCTTGGGGACAGGTGGGGCAAGAATGGCCCCCGGGGCTGGTGTGTGATTCCCTGGGACGACCCCCTTGTTCTCTACATCTATGCTGCCCCTCAGGTAACATTGCCACCACCCAGCCAGGCCTGGTCTCCAACAGTGTATGTGTAGAGGGTGGTGGTGGTGGTGATACCATTGATTCCATGTGTCCGATGAGGAGACTGAAGCACATCATCCTCGATGTCCTCCTACCAGCTCCACCCTTCTAGGGTGTTACCTTCAACACGACTATCAGAGGTGGTAGGGCTCAAGTGGGCAGGGCATGGGGGAGGGGGACAGTGACCCACTGCTTTCCCCTCCCCTCCCAGGACATGCGGGCTCACACCTCCATCCCTCTACTGGGCTACCAGGTGATTGCTGGGCCCCAGGTGGGCCCCCGGGTCTTCCAGCTGCAACAGTCAGGTCAGCTGTACACATTCAAGGCCGAGACTAAGGAGCTGAAGGACCGCTGGGTGAAGGCTGTGGAGCGCTCAGCCAGCGGCCAGATCCCCGGGGGTTCTGATGGGGACCTGTCTGACTGAGCAGCAGCTGTTGTTTCCCCTCCCCATCTCTCTACATACCACCCCCCCACCTTACCCCACCCGGACTCCAAGCCTAGATCTTCTGCAGCTTCTGCTACCCCCACCCCAAGTTTCTGTTTTTAAATGCTCAGACAAGTTGCTCTGATTCAGAAGATGGGTCTGTTCTGCGGGGAGGGGCCGAAGAAACATTGTCCTGCTCTTCCTGGAGCTGAGGGCTAGCTAGGACTCAGGACCTTCAGAGCTAAAACTGGGAAAGTCTGAAGTAATCCAGGATGTTTGGTCACACAAGTGGGTCTCAACCTGGACTGCTCATTAAAATCACCTGGGGATGCCTGTTCCACCCCCCACCCCCCAATAGTCTGAATTAATTAGTTAGAGATGAGGAGGAGGCCCTGACTATGTATAGAAATCCTCTTGTGTGGCCTGGGCTACCCAGGATGAAGAAGAAAGAAAGAAAGCTACCAATGGCTGAGCAGCAATTATAATAATGAATAAATATCTGCTGGACCAGGCATTGTGCTGGGTGTTCTGTATGGATTGTCTCATTTCACTCTCAGGAGCTAAAATCCTCACTTTCCAGGTAAGAAAACCTAGGCTCAGGAGTCACAGCTAGTAGGTACCAGAGCTAGGTTTTTAACTCAGTGGATAAGGTCAGAACTCTTGCCGTTAGGTAGCAGAGTAACAGGGCAAGTGGGGAGCATGAGGCATGGGAGAGGAATGAGTGGAGCAAAGAGTGAAAGCGAGAAAAGTAGAGACAGGAGGGAATGGGTGAGAGGAAAACTGAGTGGGGAAACACCCTTGTTTGGCCACTCTGCCTGGTGAGCGAGGCTGCTTTACCATGAGACACCACCAGGGAGTGGCAGTGGGCAGTAGACTAAAAACAAGTGGTCCCAGTCCAGGCCCCAACACCCACCCAGTCATTCCCAGCTGGCCTGGCCACTGACAGGCTCTGCCTTGGAAGAGGTGAAACACAGACAAATCATTAGTCTTTGCCTCATTCCAGGCTCAGTAGTTGACTGGTCCCAACCTGGGATCAGCTCCCTAACCCCCCCACTGCTGTCAAGTCAATTCTGACTCATAGGGACTCTTTAGGACAGAGTAGAACTGCTCCCTAGGGGTTTCAAGGCTGTGAGTCTTTGTGGGAGGAGACAGCCTCATCTTCCTCCTCCAAAGTGGCTGGCTGGTGGGTTTGAACCACTGACCAATGCTTAATCCATGGCATCACTGTTCCTTTAAAAGAGGTAAAAAGCAGCTTTAAATCATAGATGAGAAATTGGGGAGTTGGTGAGCTTAAATTAATGGGAGAAGAGTAAGTAGAATGAAATAATGAGAATGTCACAAATTGAAAAATGTACCCAGTTTCACTGAACATTATGTGCAGAGAAATTGTTGAATGGGAACCTGTTTTGCTGGGTATACTTTCACCAAAAATATAAGCACTTGGCTTCTAACCAAAAGGTTGGTGATTAGGGTCTACTCAGAGGTACCTTCGAAGAAAGGCCTGGCAATCTAGTTCCCAAATATTACCCATTGAAAAACCCTGTGGATACCTGAGACGATGGCTCTTAGTCACACTTTAGGCCCTCACTCAACTTTCAGCCCAACAAGAGACAGTTTCTATAAGACAAACTCCTGGTGTGGCACTGTAGGATCAGTACTGGACTGCGAACCACAAGGTCAGTGGTTCAAACCCACCAGCTATTCCTTGGAAACCGTATACAGAGTCACTATGAGTAGGAACTCGATGGCACTTAACAACAACAACAACATGAGATGAACAATAATTCTAGGGAAGTATGCATTCCTTAGAACAATCAACAATTTGAGCTCAACAGGGCAGCATGTACCCAAGGACAAAGCTCAGAAGGAAGACTAGAAACACAGGAAACACAGGAAGGATAAGTGATGTTACATTGAAGTGGTTGCAATCAATGAGATGAAACAAAATTAGTACGAATTGTTGCGTGGAAAATGGATTTGTTCTTTATTCAATTCACAATAAAAAGTTTTAAAAGAAAACTAAACCCTATGGAGCACAGGTCTATTCTAACTTGCTACCAGTCAGAACTTACTAGAAGATATCTGATTTCCAGCCCTGGACTTCCAGGCCGGGACAAGATTTCATCGATGTCCTCCCACCAGCCCTCCTATCAGAGGATATGAGTGTGACAGAAGAAGAAAGAGGTCCAAAGACTGAGTCCTCTGTACAGTCTTTGATTTGCAGTTCCAATTCTGAGAATTTACCCCAAGGAGACAGCCAGGCCAGTGTGACAAGATGTTCACTGCACATTATTTACAATACCCCCCAGACTGAAAACTCAATAAATATCCATCAACAGAAGACTCATTAAATAAAAGTAACCCGTCAAGATGAAACTTGTTAGATAAACTCTGATCATTCCAATGGAGAACGATGCAGCTATTCCACAAGAAGTCTTACCAAGAAACAAACCCAAACCCGTAGTAGTGGAGTCAGTACTGAATTGCCCCATAAGGTTTTCAAAGCTGTAAATCTTTAGGGAAGCAGACTGCCACATCTTTCTCCCAGAGAGCTGCTGGATGGTTTGAACTTTTGGATAGCAGTTACATGCTTTAATCATTGTTCTACCAGGGTTCCTCATGAAGACTTTGTTGTTGTTGTTAAGTGCCATCGAGTTTGGTTCCTACTCATAGAGACCTTGTATAGGGTTTCTGAGGAGCTGCTGGTGAGTTAGAACCGCCAACCTTGTGGTTTGCAGTCTGATGCTGATCCTACAGTGCCACACCGGGAGTCCAAAGAAAGTATATTGACACTGAAAGATGTTCGTTATATATTATTGTTGTTAAGTACCCTCGAGTTGGTTCCGAGGCATAGCGACCCTGTATGGGGTCTCCGAGGCTTTAAATCTTTGTGGTAGCAGAAAGCCTCATCTTTCTCCCATGAAACAGCTGACAAGCTCTAACTGCGGGCCTTGTGGTTCTCAGTCCAGTGCTTATCATATGGAGATTGAATAATAATTGTAGAAGGAGCTAATATTTTTAAGCACTATATGTCCAAAAGGAGCTGTGGTAGTGTAGTGGTTACAAGTCAGACTGCTAAACTCAAGGTCAGCAGTTTAAAACTCCCAGCCTTTTCATGGGAGAAAGATGCGGCTTTCTGCTCCTGTAAAGATTTACTCTCTGATAGTGTAGTGGTTACGAGTTGGGCTGCTAACCTCAAGGGCAGCAGTTTGAAGCTACCAGCCGTTCTGCAGGAGAAAGATGAGGCTTTCTGCTTCCATAAAGATTTAACAACCTCGGAAACCCTATGCAGGGTTGCTGTGCATCGGAACCAACTCTACGGCACATAGTCACCTAAGATTTACAGCCTTGGAAACCCTGTACAGCATCGCTATGAATTGGAACCGACTCAATGGCATACCACCACCACCATATGTCAAAAGGACTCCTGGTGTAGTGCTGTAGAATCAGCACTGGACTTCAAATCACAAGGTTGGCAGTTCAAATCCACCAGCTGCTCCTTGGAAACCCTATACAGAGTCGCTTTGAGTCAGAACCGACCCAACAGCACTTAACAACAACAATAATGTATGTCAAAAAAAACCAAACCGGACAAGTTGTAAAGTAGACTTTGACTTGTAGAGACCCTATGGGTATTAGAGTAGAACTGCACTCCATCGAGTTTTCAGTGGCTGAGTTTTGGGCAGTAAATTGCCAGGCTTTTCTTCTGAGGCACCTCTGAGTGGACACCAACCATCACACTTTCAGTTGGCAACTGAGTGCATTAAGTGTTTGGTGACTCCTTTGTGAAGATTTAAAAATGTAATTCTTTATATCATTAGTGTATGACCCTCACTTTACAGACAAGGAAACAGGCACAGAAGTCTGGGTAACTTGCTTGTAGTGACATAACTTGGGGAATGATGGGCAGCCAGTGTTCCAAACCACTGTGCTATGGAACGTTCTGGTCCTGCTTGTATAAAAATATTTCATATTGCCATAATCTGAAGAGAGGCGCAACAAACTTTAAGAGTAGTTGTTTTATGTTCTCCTTTATGTTCTGCTTCTGTGATATGCGTATTTTCCCCTCAAGATCATGTATTACCTCTATAATCACAAGAACATGAATGTCTTTCCAAGAAGGGAGATTGGGAGATTGGAGTAGAAAACAGTGGATATGAATGGAGGCAGACATGAAAGAAATGAAGCGCAGTGACTGGATACTATATGCCTTTCCAAGCGTAACTTAGTAACTAGGCAATGTCAAGAACCTGTGGTTTGTTCTGAGGAAAATTTGCAGGTACCTATTACATTCTTTATATATGTATATGTTGTTGCTAAGTGCCGTCTAGTCAGTTCCGATCCATATCAACCCTGTATTGAGTTTCCAAGGGGCAACTGATGAGCTTGAACAGCCGACCTTTGTGGTTCAAACTGATTTTGCATTCCAGCCCATCAACCCACAGTGCCACACCAGGACACTCTCTCTCTCTCTTTCTCTCTCTGTATATATATATATATATATCAGGATTGGAGGAAGACTCATTTTATATATATATATGTATATATATATCAGGATTGGAGGAAGACTCATTTAATATATATATATATAAATATATATAAATGAGTCTTCCTCCAATCCTGATGCTTGTTTCCTTTATCCAAAAAAAAATTTTTTTTTAATCTTCCTCTAGTCGAGTTCTGATTATCAAGCCATTGAGGCTAGGTCAAATGGGTACTATCTGCAAGTTTGGCTGTTCTTGTTCATCTCCCCTCACTTCATATCAGCTGGATGCTTCACTCTCAGCTTTAAGGCTCTGTGGCTGTGTCCTTGTTCATGGGCTCAGGAGTCCCAGTTCTCACCACACTTCAGACCAAGCAGCTTTTCCACTTCTCTCTCTCATCTCTAGGTCAATGGGAGTCTATGGAACATGGTTGAACTCAGCACATATCTTCATTGCTGCCTTTCAAGGGATATAATTGCCCACTTCCACTCACCAGTAGACCCATGTGATCGCCAG